CCCAAATAGGGCTCGATCCTGGGATCCTGGGATCATGACCTGAACCAAAGGCAGATGCTTAACTGACTAAGCCACCCAGGCACCCCTGGAGTTGAAACTTCTTAGTCAGGCATTCAAGGCTTTCATGATATGGCAGAGAATTAAGATGAGAGGAGTAAGGACGTAAAATGAGAAGGGTTGGGGGAGGGGGAGAGGGAAAGAAACACTAATCCCTCTATTAGTTTCTTAGGGCTGCTGTAACAAATTACCACAAACTGTGCCGTTTAATACAACAGAAATTTGTTCTGTTCTAGTTTTGGAGGCTACAAGTCCAAAATCAAGGTGTTGGAAGAGTTATGCTCCCTCTGAAGGCTCTAGGAAAGAATCCTTCCTTGCCTCTTTCTACCTTTTCAGAGCTTCTGGAAATTCTTGGCATTTCTTGGCTTCTGGCTCCCATCACTCTGATCTCTGCCTCCATCTTCACATGGCTATCTTCTCTGTGTGTGGGGTTCCAAATCTCCTGGTTCTTTCTCTTATAAAGATACCAGACATTGGATTTAAGGCTTATCCCAGTATGACCTCATTTTAACTTGATTATGCCTGCAGAGCCCTGTTTCCAAATAAGGTCATATTCACAGATACTAGGGGTTATGGAATCTTGCTTGTGAAAAGGTTATGGATGACGTGAAGCACTTCAGGAACAGGGAAGGTAATATTAAATAGGGTACTAGATTACCAGAAGGGATTTTTTTTTTTAAGCAATGGAATAGCATGCATGATCAAAGGATGCACTTTTTTTTTTTTAAAGATTTTATTTATTTATTTGACAGAGAGAGACACAGTGAGAGAGGGAACACAAGCAGGGGGAGTGAGAAAGGGAGAAGCAGGCTTCCCACTGAGCAGGGAGCCCGATGTGGGGCTCGATCCCAGGACCCTGGGATCATGACCTGAGCCAAAGGCAGATGCTTAACGACTGAGCCACCCAGGCACCCCCAAAGGATACAATTTTAGTCAAGAAAAAAATCAGTCTGGAAGCTGAATATAGGGGAGATTATAGAAGGTAAAACCAGGAAGTTAAGAGAATGCCTGAGTAGCCTGAAGGTGAGGAGAAAGGCACAGAACTAGCCGGTTAGCCCCAGGAGGTTGTTAATCTTGCTTCTTTTGTTCAGCATTGTATTCCAAGAGCCTAGAACAGTGTCTGTCACATAGTAGATCCTTGGGACACATTTGTTGGATAGATGAATGGGTGGACAAAGTAGGCTTTCGCTAGTAGGAATGGAAAAGAAAGATGCCACAAGCCTTTCAGAGGTGAGCCGAATTAGTGGACCCTGGAACAAGATAGAAGTGAGGAGGAGCATTATTCAAAGGCAAGCCCACAACGTGGCACCTGTTGGAGACAGAATTGAACCTCTCTCTCACCACCTGCCCACACTGTAGCATTATACCTGACTCCCGTGCTATCCGCCACCCCCCCCCCGGAGTGTGAGTCTGGGGTACAGGATGCCTAACTTGATTCATGTCTGCGTGTACCCTTTACAGCACCCTGCACACAGTAGGCCCCCAATTCAACTTTCAATGAACTTAGGAATAATTGAATTTCCACATTTAAGCAACATCGAAATATGTCCCCCAGATTTAAACTCTGAATTTTATACTTTTGTACCTTCAAAATGCCTGGCACACAGTAAGCTCCCGATAAGCACTTGTTGAACCAAACAGAATAAATCAGATTCACCCAGTTCCGCCCTGGCAGCGAGGTCTGCATTTGGCAGGACGACAGAACCCATTGCTATTAAATTCTTACGTAAGAGTGAATGACCCTCCCAGCCTACTTGACGTCTCTCACACAGGAGACGTGGAGGGGCAGGGAAGGGAAGGCCCGGGGAGCGAGAGCGGTGTTGAGAAACACACACTCTTTTCGGTGGTAGACGCACAGATTCATTTCTAGCCTCGGTCCCCGACATCGATCTGAAAAGAGCGCTGCACGCTGGTGTGGGGCGGGCGGAGGGGGCGGCGTGCTGGCATTTCGGTCGAGGCGTGTTTCATTCCGTGGGTAAGGCCTGCCCACCCGGCACGCCCCAGGGCTCCGAGTCTGCGGGTGACAGCGGCCCCACTGCGGGGACTCAGTTCCAGGCTGTGCCCCCGGGATCCCCGCGGGCGCCGGCACGCCGCAGACTTGGCCCGTCTCCCGCCCGCCACCCCCGAGGCGTCCG